AAGGGGGGGTTACAACAAATTTTTTTTTTTTTTTTTTTTGCAATTTTAAAATTAAACAATAAATATTTACTATAAGTTACATTTTGCATAGAATTATCTTTGGGATCTGAATCCATTGGAAAAAGGCATGCTAATTCCAAGAATCAGGGATGAGAGTAGTTGGAAAGTAAAAAAGAGAAAATTCAAGAATGAATGAATATATATATATGTCACTATTGTATTAATATATTTTGCTTTGGCTTTATTCATACAATGTCAGAAAGCACTCTGTTTTGCGGATATAATCGTGTGGGCTGATGAAAAGATTATATCTTTTTTTTCCGTTTTTTTTAAATAAAATTTCATCCTTTTTTTTTGTCTTTTTTTTAAAAAAACTGTTGTTTGATATTTTTTTACTTATTATTTCCCCCCTTTTTTCATATGTCTATAATTTTTCTTTGTTTTTCTTCATTTTGAACTTATGTTTACATATATATACCATATATATATTGTTTATATATACATATATATAATTTTATATATATATATATATACACACACACAAAAATTTGACAAAAAAGTACAATTTTTAAACTTGTAAACCATGTGATTATAAATCCCAATAATTAATTTTAAAATTGCATGAATATATTAATAAGAATCACATGCATGATTTCAAATTAAGAGAATATGAATCCCAAAATGAGGCTTTTAAATCATGTGAATATGAAACTCTATATCGAATTTAAAAAACGCAAAAATACAAATCATGATGTGTAATTTTTAGATCACGCAAATACGAATCACGATGCGTAATTTTTAAATAGCGCGAATACGAATCCCACTAATTTTTAAAGCATGCATAAATAGGAAAATCAATGTTTGATACTACAACTGCAAAAACGAATCACAACATTGGATTTTAAGCTCGCGTGAATACGAATCGCCACATAGGGTTTTAAAAGCGCGTAATTAGAAATCGCGATATTGGATTTTTAAATCTCATAAATAAGAATCGCAATGTATGACATTTAAATCGCCTGATTAAGAATCGTAACGTTCAACTTTTAAATCAGGTAAATACGAAAATAAATTTTTGAGGGAGGAATGGAGACTTCAATACTTTCGCTTCGCAGAAAATTTAATTCCTCATAAAATATTTCAATTTGTGCTAAAAACATTTTTAGCGGAAATCCGCGTATCCACGGAAGACTCACATCCCTGATAGAATATGCGATTTTGAGTTTGATTTCATAACCTAAAATATGGACTGCAAAATCTGCATATTTGAGGTTACTCCTTCGAACCATTTGGATCATATTCTAGAACATGAAGATCCTATCATTAGATGAATAGTTATTCAGTGAGGTCCATTTATTTTTTTGCACACTGTACACATTTAAACAATATTTAAAAGTATTTTGTATTCAATATGTCACAATTTTGTTAAATTTTTTTTTAAAAAAAAAGAAAAATTTCTGTCTTTGACTGTTGTAACACAATTTGTCGATTTACTAACATTTTTACAAACTCGTTTAATTGCCCGTAAATAAATGCACTGCTTTTAATATATTTAGTAATTGTTAATATGCTTATACACTCATCTTAAAGCAATGTTAATCCTAAATAATTCCAAATCCATCGTAATAAAATTATGCTTATTCAGAGAAAGTATGGTTTCATGTCTGTTTTTGCAACTTAAAATATTGTCTGCACTAATTAATTAGCTTATTACAGCAATTTTGGTTCATACTGATTGGTGAAAACTTCTACTTTTCTCAAAAATCATTACAAATATCGAGAAAAAAAATTATCTTCTTGAACCTATTGAATGCATTCAAGAAAATCTTTACAAAGCCATATGTACTTATCTAATACAGAAAAGGCGAACCTTTATGTATCAATACTTGATCCAAGAGTTCCCTTGTCTTCTGGACTGGGTTCAAAATTACAAGACTACGGCATTGAACATTGGTAGACGTAACCCCAAAATTGGGTTGGTTGTTCAATGATGGTTATAAAAACAAAAAAAATTTATCCAGAAATTCCCTTATCTTTTGGGATGGGTTCAAATTAAGGCTACAGAGTTGAACATTAATAGTCGTAAACTTAGAATGAAGGTGCCGAAGCAGTTATGAAATTATAATTACATTGGTAGTTATAAATTGATATTATGAACTTATTAAGTTATTCTTAGTGAACACAAAATTCGAAGGCAGTTTTGGAAAGCTAAATTATATTTTCTTGCGTCCATATTTCAAATAAAGGTAATGCACTCCTACGCTAATGCATGGCGTGTATAATAAAAAGAACTTTATATATAACTTGAATTATTCCCATTCTAGTGAGTTAAAAAGCTGCAAATGAAAAAAAACATTTTTGGATTTATAAAGCTTCATTTGACTGACATAAAATATTTAAACATTTTTTTCACTTGCACCCAACAATAAACAAGACCCAGTGATATTACAGACAATTACTGACTCAGAAATCAAGAGATGACAATAATATTCTCTAATATCCAATTAATTTAAGAGAAATAAAAGATAATTTAACTTAATAAAACAAGGTAGCTATTATTCAAATACAGATATAACAGTTCACCTGAGCAATCATACGTAACAAGGCTGTGTAGCAGTACTCTGATATAAGTAAGTGATCAAAGCCAAAAGATCATTTATAGCAGAGAAAAATATAAGTGAATGGAGCAAATGCAGCATACAATTCCCCACCGTTTCTCATTCCACAGTCGCTGTAAATTGACTAAGCTCAGAGCCACCCCTCTGGGTCCCATATATGATCGTTCCATGACAAATCGAGCAAGGACAGCTGGTAATGTGGCATTCCTGCGACACCCTTGGTGAAAAATGCCTTCAAGGGAACCCTGCCAGGAGTGGCATCATATTTGGTTGAAGGATGTCACGCTGGGTTGTGATGGCACAATGGATTAATATTACAGGTGATTGTGTGTGGTACACGATGACACCCCATACTATCGTACAAGGGGTTATGATACTGTACAGCAGGATTGAGGCCATGAGCCTCCAGACTCGTAGACGATGGTGATCACTAAATCTGGATTCATATCTGAAGATGACCTGGTTCCATTTGGTTGCAGTTCAATCTTGTCGAGAGTAACTTTACTTTGAAAGGAAGCAGCAGTTGGCATCAATCCTGCCTGCGCTGTACAGATACACAACTCTTATAGTTGGTGGGTGTAATAGAATGGGGTGCCATTGCATACAACAACCCCTTAATATTGATCCATGGTACCATGACATGCCTTGCGGTAGATTTGTGACATATTTCAGTCACACGTGTTGGCCATTCTGGGCAAGGCTTCCAGACGCCATTTCTTAATGAGACAATGCATGGCCTACACTTGATCCTCAGACTTGATACTGAATAAGCATATCTGGGAACACTTGGCACAAAAGTTGGACTGTTGATTTTGTGGCGTTTTTACAGCAATTGTGGAGCTGCAAGACATTATAAAGGACACTTATATCTGACTACTTCCGTGCTAGAGGTGGGCCAAGAAGGTACTAAAACTTCCAATTATTAGTATTTTATTCCGCAATAAATGATTGTTTTTCAATCACTTACTTACATCAATGTTGTACTTGTTTTTCAATCACTTACTTACATTAATGTTGTACTTGTTTTACAATCACTTATTTACATCAATGTTGTACTTACGTGAGATTTTGTTTCATTCTGACAACTCTTTATAGGTGAACTCATTTTTATGGCAATGAGTCTTGCTATATTTATAGAAGTAAAATATTCTTATTTAATTTTTCATTAAATTTAATTGCTTCTTTTTAATTTTCAGATGTTTTAAAGCATAAAAAACAGCTTGGAAATTAATACTATGGTTAAAACTTGACTGATATTATAAACTGTATTGATTCTGGATGGTTTTTCCAAATCTCTAAAATGAACGAATCGTTACACCAAATTACCTGTGAGAGCAATGAAGTGTGGCTGTGCAGTTAAAGCTTGAAACAGGACAGACTGTTGTGTCTCTGGATGGAAGCTGTGAGTGACTACTTGAGCAGCTTCTTCAGATGATGTGGAAATCTATAAGAAATCATTACATGAGGGTGGCCACTAAATCAGGTTTTCCAGCTAAAAATCTTAAAATTTCAAGGTCAGCGTGCTTGCACAAAGTGTAGGATGGGTACCAGAAAAGTGTTAATATTAAAGTATTTTATTTAAAATGTTAATTTTTTGAATATATTACCTTGAAAAAAACTTCGATTAAATTTATCTTTACAACTTAGCCAAGATTTTATTTTTCATTTTTTAAATTTTTCATATTTTGGTACATTATTAATTTTTAAAAAATTAAGATAGATGAGAAGAAAATAATTCATTTAGTGTGTAGAATATATTGCTTTTACTGAATAAAAATGTTTTAATGTGTTTAAGTAGTTTTTGCACTAAGTGTAGGCAATTGGAAATAGAGTTACCCGAAAACCTAGCGAAAGTAATATATTTTCATTAAGCAAAAGAAAATAATTCCAGGAGATTATAATGAATAAATTTTTATATTTATTTACATTTCAATACAATACATTTATTTACACTACACATTCGAGCAAGATAACCTGTCTCATTACAGTTTACTTTAATTATTATTAATACCATTTTCTATTATTAGTGTGAATTTTTTAAAAATAAAAAAAAACTGCCCTTGTTAGGATTTACGTAAAGCGGTTAAGAATTTCAAATGATATAGCCTTTCCTTTAACGGCTTATAACTTATCAAAAACTGATATTTGTAAGTTAAAGTCATTAATTCGAAAATCCTCAGTTGAAAATGATACCTTGGTGGCCTAAAAATATTAAGTTTAAAATTTTGGTTATCTGGTTGACAGTTAGTAATGCCCAACTAGAAATTCACACCTGTACAGTGCAAAACAAAAAAGCAAAGTTTTTGTTTCCTTATTAAACACATATGAATAAAAAAAATTATATTCTATGATTAGATATCATTTAACATGTTTCCCATACATTTGCAAGCTTTCTTTGGGTAAAAAGAGTTATTACCTCTGGAATGCAAGCAAGATTTACAAATATCGTCATAACTACACAATTCGAACCAATAATCAAATATTTATTCACAAAACAGTAAATGTTAACATATAATTGGTTTGTAAAAGAACCTTTTTTTATAAATATAAACAAAATGTGTTATAAAAGGTTGTAATGAAACCGAGAAAATTAGCATCAAAGTAACAATTGTGACCATTTGTCGACAAAGTTACTGTTAGCAATTATATGAAAATGAGTGATTGGTTGGCTTTGTCGAGAAAAAAAAATGTATCGATTTCATTGGATGGGAGTACAAATACCTTTCAGAAGAAGAGTGCAATAAAAATATAATCAACTAAAATTTGGAGAATTTCATAGCGTTATTAAAACATTTTAACGTTTGGTCAAAAGAAATCATACCCCCAAAGCATCAGAACAAAGTCGAACAATAAATAAATTCAGCCCAGGGGGTAGAAGAAGAGAAAAATAAACGGAAGCAAATAAATCCATCACAATCTTTGCCTTCCCTAAATTACATAGTCTCCCAAAAGGTTTCTTGATTCATTTAGCAACCGTGGGATGGCATTCTAGTTTTACACAGTTATAATAGAACAAATTTTAAAGTATCACTAAGTTGATGAACTGTTTGGCAATACATTTCCATAGATAAAAAAGGGGGCATAATAATTTCAATTAAGAAAAAAATTCCAGCTTTTCTTTAAAATTCTCTGATTTTTACCAGGTTTTTATCCAAACTTACCCGATTTTTGCAGTATAAAAAAAATTCCCCGATAATTCCAGGTGAGTGGCCTCTCTGTACTTAATAAAGGCAATACATTACATACTTTCAAAGGTATCAAAAATAAGAAGTTTTCCAACTAATAAAAGGATAAAGTATGTACCATGCCTCCCCCAGTTCAGTGAATTTCAATAAAAAGAAACTCAAATAAAACAGCAAAGCAATAAGAAGTAATTTGAATGAAAGATATCACTAAAAACACATTCAAATTAAAAAAAATAAAAATTTAATGGAAATTAAACCAGTTTAGAAAAATTTTAACAAATCTTAAAAAGAAATATTTAGAATAATCATCAAAATTAAACCTCATACATTGCACAAAAACATTCTATTTGTGAGAAATTATTAACTGGCTCATGAGTGAAAGAAATATTTACACTATTCTCCCATTAATAACCAATTTTGTGATGCAGGTTTGGACTAAGGCAGTCAACCGCTGTGCTGATAAAAGTATATAATATACTTTTTATAATTTTTTCACGTTTTAACAGCGTGAACATCTTTGTCGGCCCCCGTGACAGAATTGCAGCGACATGGCAACATTGGAGCAGTATGTTACAGAGTTCTCGCAGAAAGATTTATCTTTTGAAAAGTAAAAAAAAATTTACTTTCCTTTTGTACAGAAATTTACACATAATATTTGAATCAAGCATTTAGATAATAATTTTTTGACATGCGCAATTTACACCAATAGTATCGTAAATTGATGCGATGTTTCGACCGAATTTTTGGCAATCATTGATTTTCATGTGGATTTTAAATATCCCGATATATTTCAAACAATTTGAAAAATTGGAATCATGAATTTGAGTACTTACTTTTTAATGCAATATTTTATCAAGTTTTCAGCAGTTATTGCTATTGATTTCTCCCAAGTTTTTAAATCCGATATTTTTTATACGATATTATTTATTACAACAATCTCGAAACGAAACACACATATGAGGAAACCGATTCGAGTGATTTTGTCGCCGCCCTTTCATTCGAAAATTAGTATTATGGATTTCATGATTTTAAATTAATTTTTTTACTCTGATGATTCTTTACAAAATGTGAAAAAGGAAATTATTTGTGCGTCTCCTCCTTAACAAAATGCGAGACTATCATCCAAAATATTAGAATAAAAAATTATTACATGTTCAATTAAAAACAATTATATACATATATTCGTAAAGACAGCACTTTTATTATTTTACATTAGTAACATATATGCTTGTTGCATATATGATTAGAAGAGCAGATTTTAATTATTCTTATGTTTATCAGATAGCAAAATTCAGTCCAAAACTTTTATTTTTTCATAATAACTTAAGTTTAAGATAAAACTGAAGAAAAAAAAAAATGGTTGTGTAAATACTTATTTCATTTCATCACTTATTATAATGGTTTTATTTTCAAATCTCTTTTTCGCATTTTTGCTTTTAGGGTGAAATCAATTGAAGATTTCAATAGGTAATTAAATTATCTCAGGTAATATTTAAATCATANAATGTGATATATATATATATATATAAAACTATTGTTTTTGACAGTTTGTACTATACATCCCTTTTTTTAGAGTTAGTGTTACTCATTCCCATTTTGTAATTTGTGTTACCCAGATAATATTAAATAAAGACATCCTAATCAGGTTGCGTAGCCAGATTTTTCAATAAAAAATAAGCACTCAAAAAATAGTTTTAATCACTTTCCAAGAAAAAAAAATCATAATTAGGATATGTGCAGTTATAAATTTTTTTTCTATCGCTTTAAGTTCTTGCTTTATAAACAAAAAAATCAACGAAATGCAAAAAATTTTTTAAAAAACTTAACATAATCCTGAAAAAATATATGCAGTTTGAATATGCAGAGAAAATCCTGAAAATCATGTTTTTTTTGTAATTTATGACAACAATCCACCCGCAAAAAAAAAAAAAAAAAAAAAAAANAAAATAAAAAAAAAAAAAAAAATCTTTTAAAATGATAGAAAATTAAGCATTTTCTTAACACTGAATAAAAAAAAGCACATTTAAGGGCTTTTAAAACATGGAAATCGAAAATAAGCACCTTTTAGCACTTTTTAAAAGCGCTATGCGCCCTGTCTAATGCAAACAAAATGTTTTCCTATTATATTTTACATTATCAATAAAGTTATGTTATTTACTTCAATAATATTATTCCCATATTCTATTACTTTAAAACTGATAATGGAATCAATTAATCGAACGATAGACTAAGTGTTTTCAAGTTCAGATTTTTTTATTCTTTTTAAGCAACCCTCTAATTTACAAGCTAAACGCTTTTACAACAGACATTTTTGCTAAACGTGATAAAAAATAAAAATTTAATATAAAATAATATTCAAGAAGCAATGCATTTTTATTTAGAAAATATAAATTTTGAAATCAAAATGGCTGTCGAAAGCATGTGTTGCAATTCTCGAACACTTTCTCCCCAAGCATAAAATAAATGAAAGAAGTTTTAAACTTTCGATAATCTTACTTCGCCGCCTTCCGCAGTTGATGAAAGGTTTTGAGGCTGTTGGTTGTTTCCCGCGGTCTTCAGGGGGTCTCTGTTGATTTCTCTCGGCAAGTCCGCTAATACAAAACTCGGCTCAGTTGCCATGGTAACAGTTTCCAAATGTTGCTCTACCGTCGCCACAGCAACCAGTTCCAGATGCAAGATAGAAAAATAACACAGAGCCAATGAGGAGAGCGCTCATACTCACGCAAAACTAAAGTAAAACCGGTCGAAAAATTTTTATCAAGGGAAGAGAAGAGAGAGGAAGAGGGGGGGGGGAAGGGTAGTGGAAAATAACTAATAAATAATTAACAAAGCACACTATCTTTCATTAATGTCATATTACATTCACAGCTTCAAAAATGAAATGTTAAAATTACTTTTTTTCCCGCTTAATTTGAGAGTTAGTGAAACATTTATTCAGGGTATCTGCTACATTTTAGATTTTCAAATTCATGACTTTTCCTGACTCATTCCAAGGATTTTTCATGACTTAACGAAGTTACTATTTTCTCCGACAGTAATACAACAAAAAATTTAAAAAAGCATTATAATAACATTCATTGAAATGATAGGTATATAACCAAAACTGTTATACTCTGCATCTTCATATTTAATGAATTTAAACTTAAAAAACAGAGTAAAGAAAGAGTTGAAGTAATAAAATAGCTGAAGATACTTTTCTTGTTCATCGGAAAGGAAAGAAATACTCCTGATTTTTCTGTTCTCAGTTCGGAATAAAAAATTTGCTAATGACTGCTTTGCTTCAGCTAGAATTTTAAATTGATAAAATAAAAAAAAAGTAATAAAATAATAACAAAAATTCTCAAATCACAGAAGTTTAAAAGATAATTCGCTCTAGAAACGATGCTTTTTCTTTCATTTTTTGAAAGAACACCATAATTTTTAAAGAACACAATAAAAACATTTAATATTTTAATCAAATATGACTGTGAGTGGGGATTTTGTTACAAATTCAGATATTCCAAATACCATGAAATTGGGGAGGGGGTTAAATTCCATTTTAAAAATCAGATTTTATGACGCCCTAAATCCATGATTTTTCTTTAGTTAAAATCATGAAAAATTATGTTCAGTACCAAAATTCATGACTCTCCAGGTGAGCAGATACCCTGATTATATACAGAGAGTCACAAAATGCTTCTGTGACTGACTATTGCAGATAATATTAATTAATAAGATCATATTTTAATAGACAAATATTTTGCAAAGTTTAGTCCTTCTGTAGAAGAAACAAAAATAACTAATTCAAAATACTCACCTTGTGCCAAGTCTTCTAGTTCTGAGACCATTAAACACCATTCTTATCAGTTTACCAAAAGATGCTGCATTCAGTGGCTCCATCTTCTGTTCTCGACAGTATTTAAAATATTGAGTGTACATAGTACTCCGAGGTACACTCATCCCATCAGACATTTCATAATTGTCAATTAACCATCTCATCTAAAAATAAAAATTAGTTTTCTGACATTAATATATCACATATTATACACAATTTTATTGTTCACAGAATCTTCTATCGAGTAAATCTAAATCAAATGCTGTTTTCGTGTTGAGAAAGAGTTAATTAAGTTGTTTTATTNTTTAAAATTTATTTTTATTCTAGAATAAAAATAATAAGCTGAAATATAATAATAAATTGATGAAATGCAGATCTTGCTCAATCAGCAATCATTTTTAATTCTTATACATCAGATCTACAATACTTGCACGATCAAAAAAGTTCTTCAGAAAATAAAAATACTCTGAATTTCAAAAAGTACAAAAAATTAAAGCTGAAATATCTGTTAAGAGAGTAAAAAAGAGTTATCTCAAAAAGTTATTCCCAGTACAGTCAGCAAGAAAAAGAAAAAAAATGTAACTAATTATCACATTATTATGTACATCCTAAAAAAGAAAAGCATACTCTTCTTAATAAACATGTCGTTTTATTTTTTCAATCAGTTAAAACTTTCTTAAGAAGTGAGGGGAATTATAAATCGACTATGTCAACCTTTATTCTGTCAAAAGGTACTTATAGAGTTAGTTACGCCTCCTCTTCCAGAATTTTATCTGTGATAGAATTCGATGAACAGATACCACTAGTTGATTCATGCTGTTTATTTATTTATATCAATTTTGCTCATTATATTTCTTGTTCTTCATTTTTTGTTTATAGCATTTCTCTTATTATTATTTTTCTTCTTCATTTTTTTTCTTTCTTCTTTATAGCATTTCATATATTATTATTTTTTTCTTCCCTTATTTTTTAAAAAAAATATTTCGCTCATTATTTTTTTTTTCTTCTTCATTTTTGCTTATTGACCGGGAGACTTAATTCTTCTTTCCTTGGAGCAAATCAACTGCTTACTGTGGATCATCCATCAATAAGTTCTTATCATGGGTCACCAATGAGAGGCTATGACAACATTCCTCTGTTAAAAGGTTGAATCAAATTAACATGTCTTATTTACTAGTGAATTCAATATTTATAGTGGTAGTTACGCCACAGAACCATTCACCTAAAAAATAAATAAAAACAAACTGATAGTTAGAAATTCTGGACCAAAATAAGGCGATTAGGGCCAGTTAAAGTGGCAGATAGGGTATACTTTTAATAATATTTCTTTTTCTTCTATATTTTACGATATTTCAAAAACTATCGTTTTTTTAGAATAACAATTCTGTTACTAAATATAAAAAATAATAACTGACAGTGCTGATCACATTGCCACAATAATGGCCACGAAAGCCTCCACGACCCAAGAGTTCCAACCACGGGAACTAACGGAACCAGGCCCAACAACGCTTCCACAACAGGGTGTCCGGATACCAAGTAAGTTTTCAATAAAGTGCATTCTACACAAGCACCAGTGAAATGGCTCAAGATGTTGTATACATGTGGGTATTCATAACAAAGATTGATTGCATTGGTAAATGAATGAGGATTTAATATAACATTGCTCCCACAGCACATTGGTGATAGATTCGCAACATCTGAGCAGTCTCATTAAAATTTCTACCCAATCATTTTTTTTTTTAAATCAATTTTAACAGAGAAATGGGTAAAATGATTTGAATACTTGTGAGGCAGCAAATCTTACTTGGAGACAAATAATAGGGTCTAAACCAGGAATAAATATAGAATTCCTGTAGGGCAATTCTTTTATTCCTCCTCTGTTTTGGACTAAGCTCTTCTCCAACTACTTAATAGAGTCAGCCTTTTTACATGCAATTTTAAACAGACGTATCACATTGAATTTAATCTTTACCCATAGTAAATATGTTGACAAAATGTGGGGAAAAACCCTTCAAAGACTCATTGTCACCTGAATGTTTTCTAAAGAGCAGGAATAAAGTTTTTTGACATTGAGTCTCACTTCCTTAAACGCTGCTTTCTAAAGTTTAATAAAAAGCTTTTCTAAGTATTCTTAGTTTTCCTGGAGATAAACTACTCAAATTATTGTTGTTTGATGATAATCCTTCACTATTTGTAGAATTGCACACTTTATACAATAGAATAAATACATTTATTTTAAAAAATTTATAAGGCAATTTTGTTTATTCTTAGCTTTTTTTTAATACGATTTATAACAAGTAAGAACAGGATTGCCACTCAAATCTGGAGAGAAAAAAAATTCCCTGTACATATTATACACAATATATTTAGGGAAAACAACAATGACAGTGCTCTTGTGTGAGCTATAGTGCGCTATTTATATTAGTTTTAATAGTTGGAAAAAATAATACAATATAGTAAATGAAATAGTTTAGTATAGCTGAAATATCATGGTTAAAAATCCCATAGATGATGCTTGTAGTGGTCACTATTTTTTAAAAGACAAAAATAAAACACAAAATTCCCCAGTTTGTATGAAAAAAAAATTCAAAATTCCCTGCAATTTCCCTGTTATTATAGGTGATTTTTAAATTCCCTGTATTTTCCATGTTTTCCCTGAGGAGTGGCAACCCTGAAGACTCTCAAGGGACCAATGCGTAAAGACGGCACTGGTCATGCATTAAGGCAAGAATTCTTTAGGTTTTTCCCACAATTTCGACACATTCCATATTGCCGTATTTTAAACAAAGACTTATAAAAGTTGTCCACCATTTAAAAAGGTCAGCATAGACTTCAAGAATTCTGTCTTATATTTGGATTAAAGGGACCTTAAAATACCATTATTCATTGGTGGCAGAATTGAAGTGCAACTGGGTGGCAAAAACACAATAGAAGTGTTTGCCTTTTTTCACTTTGTGAGCCTTGCAATCATTCAGGATTAGAAGTGGATTTTTATGTTCCAAGCCAACTGATTTAAAAAAATTTTCAACTTGCAGCACAAAATCAATATCTAGCCATTCTTCCATAAGTTTATGCTTCATCCATACTTTTAAAATTAATTGATAAGTCACAGGAAACACTTTAACATCCTTTAGGGTGCGTGGATGAACACTTTTTCTGATGATAAATAATTTACATTTTTATGTACCCGCAGCATTTGAGAACATCATAATGGTTTATTCACGGTTTTTGACACCAGTAAGATTTTTTTTTTTAAAACTAGGATTGTATTGTTTTTTTCCTAACGACGGGCACTGAACTTAGATTTTATTGTGGTACATAACTGATTTGTCGGCATTATAAACTTGTTTGACAAGTCTTCATACTTTATAAAATCTTAAATAAATTATTCGGCAGCTTTAAGGTCAGCTTGATCACAGCAAATGACTAACTGCTCTTTAATTTCTTCCAACGCTTCTTGAATGATTGAGCCTGTTAAAGGTACTTGAGGGGAGGAGTTATCATTCTATAGGTACCTCAAGATAGAATGGAGGTCTTATATATATTAATGAACAGATTGTAGTTACATAAGCATTACTCCCCCAGCAGAATTTTATCTGGGACAGGATTCAACGAATGGACTCACTAGTTGCCATTTTTAAAAAAAAATAGGAAGAGTTGTAAAATCCGGATTTTGTGCGCTGAATTAAGTTCATGGCTGTGTACGTGGTCGCTTCCGTGTTTCTACCAGCAGTCAAGTGCGTACAAGCAACGAGCTCCAGTGGTGCGAGAGCAACAGTGCGAGAACAATGTCACAAATAGAAAGTCAACTGCTCAATGAGTAGGCATCGTAGTGGGCATTACTGGGTGTGCTCATCAATGTGAGGAGAGGAGTTATCAACAATGTCATCTATCTAAAGGTACCTCAAGACCAGGGCTAAAGAGAATACAAGGGC